GTCGTCATCCTCATCTGGACCCCCTTGGCCCGACACCTCTTTGAGGCCCGCCGACGCTACTATCTCTACATGATTGCAGTAACGCTAGCTCGACACCACCGGAGACAGCCCCAGCTGGTGAAGCTGGCGCCTGTGAAAGCATACCGGGAGCATGTCTTACTTCACACGTTCCGCGAATCAGCACAAGGACTCGGCACTCCCGAGGCGATGTCCACATGGCATGCCGGGGGAGGCCGTTTGCTATGACAGGATATGAACATCGAAAGAGGCAGCAGACACGGGCCAGGACCGAAGCCCTGCGAGCACGCTCAGTGGCCGCCAGACATGTCGCCCATAATGGTGCGGAATTTCTGGGGAGCCTTCTTCTGCAGGATGTTCTGCTGCAGGCCCAGCTTTGTCTTCATCTTGTTCTCGTGGCGCATGATGGCCACGATCCTCTTGCCTTCTCGCGCCTGCTCTCGGTGAGAAAGCCGTAGCAGCATGATGACAATTAAGACGGCAAAGAGGATGATGCTGATGATGATGCTGATGAAGATGGTAATGGTGATGACGATGGTGATGATGTTGATGAGGAGGAGGAGGATGATGAGGGGGGATGAAGACAAAGATGAAACTGAGGATGGGGATGAGTATACGGGTGATGATGATAATGGATGCTTCGAATGATGAGGATGAGGATGATGACTCATCATCAGCATCATCATCACCACCATCATCAGCATCATCAGCAGCATCATCATCATACTCATCAACATCATCAGCATCATCATCAGCAGCATCATCGTCGTCATCATCATCATGTTCATGATCATGATCATAGTCATGATCATGACTAGGCTGGTGGTGATGACGATTACTATGACGAATCGCTTGATTCATATTAACCCCACCGACCCTTTAGGACGTGAGTGTTTTAGCAAGTTCCCTCTTCCAACCTCCCTTCTTCCCCTTCCGAGGGGCTTAATCACTGTTCCCTATTTATAAACACCTCCTCCCCCACCTGGCCGGCAGCCAACCCAGAACCATGCGGGCACTCCCCCCACCATCCCTGTCAAAAAACAATACAAAATCCACATTGCGGGGCCCACCCTGCCAACACCCTCCACAATCCCTGTCAAAAAAATACGACATGCACATTGCAGCAAAATCTGAACAGTGCGCTGGGGCCCTGTGAGCACGTTGCATTGTTTTTGACAGGGATGGCGGGGCACCCTTAGTGAAGCCGCTTTGTGCAGGACCACCATCAGTGTCAAAAACAATGCAGTGCACGTTGCGACAACGTCGTGGATATTGTGCTGGCCACCCGCGATCACTTTGTATTGTTTTTTGACAGGGACGACGGTGGTGCCCGCATGATGATGCTTGCAATGCGCAGGACCAGAACAATGCTGAAGCCCCCCACATCAGCATCTGGACCATGCGGACGGGGGGGGCATCACGTTTTTTACAAGGGTGGCACACCAACCGCATGTGTAGCCCGCGGCGAGCGTCGCGCACCTGGCGTCCGCTTTGGTTCCCAATGGCTGTACATCCAATGGCGACCCCTGGCTATGCCGAGACTCGGATGCCACTTGTGTGGTAGGAGGGCTGGTGGAAGTAAGCTAGACGGCTTGCGTGCGGAGAGGGTGTCTTGACCCTCCCCCTACCTGGACGGACCAAACCGCGGGTCGTCGGAGCGTCCAAAACGGCCTCGGCGAGAGGCAAAACCAGGGATGGCCACAGTTTGGCGACATTTTGGCCACGTTTTGGCCAGGAGGTTTTGGCCACATGTTGGCCTCCTGGGGGGGGGGCTTACTTGAGGAGCTCCCATCCTTGAATCGATATCTTCCAAGACAGCCCCATGGCCCCCGAGGCTCCCATGGGTGCCCCCAGACGGCCACAAGAGGTGCCTAGGACACCACGACTACCACCACCACCACCAACATCATCATCATCATCATCATCATCATCATCATCATCATCATCATCATCATCATCATCATCATCATCATCTCATCATCATCATCATCATCATCATCATCATCATCATCATCATCATCATCATCATCATCATCATCATCTCATCCTCATCCTCATCCTCATCATCATCATTTGCATCAGCATCAGCATCAGCATCATCATCATCATCATCATCAGCAGCAGCATCAGCGTCAACATCATCATCAGCATCAGCATCATCATCATCATCATCATCATCATCATCATCAGCATAATCATCATCATCATCAGCAGCATCATCATCATCAGCATCATCATCAGCATCAGCATCATCATCATCATCATCATCATCACCATCAGCATCATCATCATCAGTAGCAGCAGCATCAGCATTAGCAGCATCATCACTATCATCATCATCATCATCATCATCATCATCATCATCATCATCATCATCAGCAGCAGCAGCAGCAGCAGCATCCGCAGCATCATCATCATCAGCAGCAGCATCATCAACATCATCATCATCCTCAGCATCAGCAGCGTCAATATCATCATCAGCAGCATCAGCATCATCATCATCATCATCATCCTCATCAGCATCATCATCATCATCATTATCATCATCATCATCATCATCATCATCATAGGCAGCATCATCATCAGAAAAATGAGAAGAGCAGAAGCATTTACATCACCATCATCATCATCATCATCCTCATCCTCATCAGCATCATCATCATCATCAGCATCATCATCACCATCAGCATCATCATCATCATCATCCTCATCCTCCTCATCATCATCATCATCATCATCATCATCATCATCATCATCATCGCGTTTGTCCGTAGCTGGGTCGGCTGAGCGGGGAGTTCGCAGACGCACGCACGCTCCAGTCTGTTGCAGCTCGGTGCCATGCCAGTCAGCCGTACTTTCTGATAACGAGAGTTATCGCCACAAGAGAATAATCTTCTTCCTGCACGTGGCCGAACACAGTTTCACGGTGGTGCAGGGCTCAATCCATACTTTCAGTGGCGGAGTTTACCCACAGATGCCTGTCAGGCTACCTTGGCCGCGTCCCTCTCACCATGGCCGGTGGCCTCAAGAACAAGTCGAACAAATTCATGCGGCTCTTCTTCACCCTGGTCGCGGAGCTGGAGCCGAGGTATCTGAGTGGGCAATTGGCAGATTGCAACAGAACGATATCCCATCTTTGTCGCTTGCCGTCGCGGAGCTGGCTGACCAGATCGCGGGCCCCCAGCAGGTAGCAGGCCGTAATACTACGGGCCTGTGGGAGAACTTGGCAATGGTTTGGTCAACTCTCGCGATGGCGTGTCTTCACAAAGCTCAGGTACGGAGCCGACCGGTGTCTTGGGCTCGACGGGTTTGGCATGCACTACCACCGTTAGTGCAGGCAGCGGTTCAGCAGAAGGGTATTGATTACATCAAGCAGGGCCACGCGGACATCCTGGAGCCCAAGAGTGTCACCTACATCTACGTCCTGCTTGCTCACTCTGGTTTCTATATTGGCAGGTGCAACGGCCGACGCCGCTCGGGGATCCCCTCGGGCATCGCGGCCCGCGCGATGGAGCAGCTACGGGCACTCCGCCTGCCAGCCACACGAGACGGAAAGATTGCACGGTATCGCTTGCTGCGGGAGTCGTTGGGCTCGGTGGCCTACACCCTGCGAAATGCTTAAGAAATCATGGGTTAATAAATTCATAGTCTCAGAAATTGAATGTAACCCAGAACTTCTATCAAAATCTTGGGATTTACATTGAAAAATTAAGAATAATCGAGACTCTGGACGAAAATTTAGGTTTTCTTAAGCATCGCCTAAGGTGTACCTACCGGTGTACCACTTCGAGTCCGAGGTGCGCGCCCTGGCCATGGAGCCCAGCCTCATTGGCATGCTAGGCCCGCCGTGCAACGGTCTGGATGTGGCGCAGCTGCGGGCCAGGACACAACGAGCAGATCCTCTACGCCTCAAACCACCAGTCCGACGTCGGCGACCCCACAAGCGGCTTCGTGCTACAGCGTCGGTTTCATCGGCCTGGCTTGCGCATCCGGTGCAGAACGCCTTCAACAAGAAGCTCAAGCATGAGGAGAAGGTGAATTGCATTTCTGATAGTTGGGGTCCGTGGAGGACCCTGTATCAACGAGTACAGCTACACATTCTGCTTACGTCAGGTGAGCATGGTCCACTATCAATCTTGCAGCCGCAGTGGACCAATCTGTTCCTGGCATTCTTCGCCTCGGCCAAACCACGACTTGAATTTCCACCAGCATGGGATCGTGCTCAAGCCGCCTCTGTTCTATATCGTGCTGGGGGCTCTCTGACAAAATACGTGAAGGGTATGGGCCGTCAACTTGCAGCTCGACGCAACCTTGAATGGCATCTTCGGCGACTACGGTTCCCACCTTTACAGGTACGTCCAGTCTTATTGCCAATGTTTCTGCGGAAACACAAGAATGTGGTTAAGGAGCTTGTATGGTCATCCTTACAGGAAATACGAGTGGCACCAGCGAGATCGTGGCTCCAGAAACACATTAAGATATGCTATCAAAAGGACCAGACATGGGTTCAGCGCTTGAATGGAAAACGAGTTCTTCGAGATTTACAAAAAACTTGGGTATCCGATTCGGACGTTTCAGATCTTGGACGATGGGCCCAACTTCCCTCTTTGGTGGCTTATGATGCTCCGTGGAGGCCAAAGCGGTGGCCGACAGCGCGACGGATCAAGAGAACAGCCCTGAAAGCTATGCATCATTGGTGTTCGCAACAGCGTCTTCATCCCAGAGTTCAACGACGATGCCGCGCAGCGTTACATAACCTGGTATCCCGCCAAGTCTGTCCCGAAGCACCCAAGGCTTGGCTCAAGGAAGAAACACGCATGGCTATATCATTGAGTTCGTCAACCACTTTCCTACATGATGATCAACTCCACACCCGAGCGTGGAGCACCAAGACCGAAGAGTACGCCTCGCACCTCCTGCTCGGCATGGCCAAGGACACGGAGGCCTGGCGTTTCCGCCCAGAGATGTGCCCATCCGCGTGTCTCGTATGGGCTGAGGCACGCGCCATCCTTGGTCTTCCAGATTTTCTCCGACGGCGAGTTCGGCAAGTGGCCTCCCGCATCCCTCAGGTCTTCGCCCTTGTCAAGAGCAAGTGCTGGCACCCAGGGGGCGGCCACGTCTGCACCAAGGCGGGCCACTCCTGCGTCCGTCGCGTCGTGGACATGGCGGGCACCCCGTTCGCGAAGGGCTGGAGGACCATGGGGCGGGCCGTGCGTGCGGTCGTGGCTGGCACGGGCCGCTCCAGAGAAGTCTTCAGCATGGACGACGTCGTCCCCGCGCTGAGGAAGACCCTGAGCCACCTCACTCCCCCTGAACGTGCCATCACTGACGAGGGGAGCTGCGGGTGGCCTTGTGAGTGCTGCGGGGCCGAGTTGGATGGCCTATCGTGTGCAGCCGTAGACGTAGATCAGGCTTTCGAGGCATGCAAAGGTGAGTCGGTCATGAGTGCGTGGGGGAGAACAGCCAGGAGATTTCAAGAACGGTGGAAAACTGATTCTGTGATGGTGCAGCGGGGGCGCAAATGCGTCACCCGCATCGGTCCCTCCCGGTGGAATCGCGCCTGGTGGGTCCTGTCCTTATCTCAGCTTGGCTACGCCCTGAAAGCGTCAACAATGATAAGTTTAGCATGCGTGGGGGAGGTCGTTGTCGAGATGCTGGGTTTATGTATAGGAGGAGTTATGAGTTCAGCAGCTGTAGCAGTTCAGTTGGGCGATGAAGAGGCAAGCGTTCTGGAAGACCCCCACAAACTCGATTCCGAGGGATGCATTTTTCCTGGACCAGATGATCTATCTGTTTTTGCGTGGGTAAGGTATGTAGATGATATCTTGTCGTTCTCGTATCGTTTGTGTCCGACGTGCATGGTTCGTTGTCTGCGAGCGACCTTCAGGGAGCCTATCAGCATCGTTTTCTTAAGCAGCGCCAGCTCCAGAAGTGTGACCTGGCTCGACCTTGAGATCCACCTGGGCCACCAGTGCATTCAGTGGACGCTAAAAAATCTTAATCGGCAATGGTTGGCAGGCTCGTCACCATCTCATTCATCAGCGGTCTTGCCCTACCTGGACCATCTACCCGTACCTTTTACACGTCTTCGGGGAGTCTCCCTGGGCAAAATCGCGAGGGGGGTGACTCTTGAGTTACCGACGGGAGCCCTGTGTGTTTGCATCATGGAGTTGTTTATCGAGCTTCTCAAGTTGTCTTATCCCTTCGAGGTTGTGCGTGCATTATCTCATTCTTTGCCTCCGTCCCCAGCCGTGCGGCTCGTAAGGCGGGCACTGCGCTCGTGGGGCAAGCTGTTCCTGCCCTCCCTTGGGGCGATGGGAGGCGGCAACAAAGGAGGCGGTGGCCGTGGCCAGGGCTACGATCAACGGAACGAACCTGGAGGAGATCGGTATCGGTGGCCTTGGGCCAAACGTGATCAACACGAAGACTCAAGAGATGGCGGACGCAATCGGAGCCGTCGCAAGGGCAAGAAGAGCAAGAAGGATAAGAAGAGACCGAGGTCTTCGTCTACTACATCTTCGTCGTCTTACGACTCGGACAAACAGCTGAAGGTGGCGGAGCGCATCATGTGGAAGAAGGACCCGTCGTACCGCGAGTACGTGAGGACCAAGGAGGCCGAGAAGAGGGACGAGGAGTTCGCGAGGCAGGGGCGCATCCTGGCGGAGGCTCTGGCATCAGGCCTGCAGGCGGCCATGGCGAGTGCTGTCACGAACACGGCACCCACGGGGGAGTTCCCGCCGCCGCCTCCGCTGACTGCGCCTACCAGTGGGAGCTCGGGGGCCGCCCCCGCGGGCGCCGTCGCCCCCGTGGGCACCGCTCCCGAGGTGCTCACCCCGCTCCAGCGCCACCTCATCTGCGCGGAGCTGGACCACAAGGTGAAGCTCACCGAGGGCACGCTTGAGGAGCTTATCAAAGAGATCGGGAGCAAGTGGTCGCAGAGGGCCGTCGTGCAGCGCCTGGACGAGGGCATCAAGCGCATGGGTGGCCCCACGACCAAGGTACCGAGAGCAAAAGAAGAACGGGCACGCCTTCTGTTCCAGTTGGTGCAGAAGACGGGATGAGGAGATATCGAAGTTCACCACGAAGCTGCCGACAGTGATTCCGACGTTGGTTCCATGTTTGCTGACCCTTGCCCAGAGGTCTCTGTCCGAACAGTCGTACCTCATAAAAAAAGAAAACAGACTTCTCAAGGTGGGGTCATTCTACCTACTTCCGTGTTCCTTTTCCTCACTATCCTCACCCTCATCTGCGGAGTCGTTGTCGGTTACCAGCTCGTACCACGGGATTTCATGACCTACAGCTACCTGAGGTACTTGGCGATTGAACCCGTGGGCAATCTAGCCATAGGTTCAATGGGGACGGTGGGAGCTACGGCCGCCTTATCCTCAGCACCACCCGAAGTCTGGAGTTCACCAACGCCGACGGGGGCAAGTCTTCTTCTGGCGGCACTTCCGTGGGCATTCCAGCGGGGGTTGAGGCGTT